TGTACAGTTCAGAAGCAAACACAAAAACTTCAATATAAGTACAAAATGTAGAAAGAATAACAATATACAATGATAAAATCTCAAATTGGAATCAAATAAAATACCAAAACTGTCAACAGAAAAAGTCCGTCATGTCATAGCAAAATATGTAAACATGGAGGGATTTTCCAAAAAACAAAACATTCAAAAAAGATTCTACAGGTATTGCTGCATCTTCGCGTATCATCTGTATTCCATGTACATGTATTGAGTGAAATCATCTATTGGAATGAAAAGAATAGTATTACGGTTGGTTATTTTATATATGTAAAGAAAGTTCTTATCACTGAAGCACAGGATGTAACACTGTGGTAATTAGAAGTATATGTATCAAGAATTAAATAAATGCACAAACGAATGTATTGTATCTAGAATTCGAAATCAGGCATTCCACAACAACAAGAAGTTACTAGTTCATTCAAACACCACATCCGCCACAGCTTAAATTGGAATGTATATGTCTGTAATCAATCGTACGTCTTCTTCTCAAATTCATCCTGTGTCTGTCCGACAGTGTATTGGATAAAGGCTTTGTATTATCTAGAATGCTCTCATTAGTATTAGAATTAACAACCGAAATTGGAACAGACTCACCTGGTTCTTGGAATTGTATTTGATCAACATGTCGATTGTGTGTACTTAAGTCATTGATATCTAGAAGTCGCACCATAGATTTCCCGACATTCTTCAGAACAATCCCCGTGGATGGTCGAAGATCATTGCCACGATAATATGTAACTTCTGCGGACTCCAAACATCTCATATTCGACCGAAGAATTCTTCCTTTTAATAGTTTTGATGGAGTCTCTTTCGTCACCGAATGTCTGGCATTTCTATATTGCAGTAGAAAGGTATCTACTCCCCTCTCCAGCTCATTAAATGTTGAGGCGGCAATAGAATCACTCAACCTCGAATGCTGATTTTTCAGCTTATGACACTTTTCGCAATTCTTTGCTGTACGACAAATATCTGCATTTAATGACTGTCGAGAAATGTAGTCAACATGTTGAATTTGCTTGGCACTCCCGTGCTGAACCATTTTCATACTTCCATTGCACTTAGCACACGTGGCTATCGAATCTTTAAGTAAAGCATCAGAATTTTCTTTAGAAACTAGGAGAGACAACTCCACTTTAAGCCTTTTCAAATTCTTTAAACCCAGTATTGACAGTCCTGTTTCACTAACTAAAAATTCACAAGGTATATATGAGGAATCATCATCTCTTATTAGCAATTCACAACATCCTCGTATAGGCAGTATGTGTCCAGTAATCCCCAATATTGATACATCAGTGGGTCGTATCACAACGTTCGGATCTAACGATTTCAGGTTCTTGAATGAAACAATGGACTCTATACTACCTGTGTCCACAATGAAGTCATGAAATGAACCAAGCGATGTATATAGTCGCTTTTGAATATGAGCATTACCTTTCGAAATGGTAGACAAAGATAAATGATCATTAGGATCAGCTGAATTATTGGAATCTAAATTACAAGCTTTAGTACTACTTGAGGCAAAATGAACAGTAGCTTTGCATACTGCTTGAATGTGTCCTATCTTACCACATCTAAAACATTTAGCATTACGAAATGTACAATAATAACGAGAATGAAGTTTTCCACATGATAAACATTTGCCAAACTTGGTCTCACCTTTTTGATTTCCTTTGTAATTCTTTTTTGAGACACCGTTCATTTTTACACGAGAATAGGAACCTCTGTTAAACGAACACAATTTTGATTGACCCTGAGATTGCTTTTCATCATGACAACTAATCAAAGTATTGGAAATCTTCATCGACTGAATATCAAGTTCATTCAACGCCTCGTAGTTAATGCACGCAGTTCTAACATCTTGAAAGGAACAGTTTGACATTCTTAACAGCTCTCTTTCCAAACTAGGTATGTTAATTCCTGCAATTAATCGGTCTCTCAGCTGCACATGAAGTTGATCACCGAAATTACATTTGACAGCCTGTTTCTGCAATTCAAGAATGAATTCCTTAACATTTTGGTCATTTTGACGAATCATCTTATGAAATTTCGCTCTTTCACGGCATTCAAAACCAGGGCACCTTACATGATTCAATAATAACTCCTTTAGCATTGCATAGGGAAGTGAAATAGGTTTTTCTGGATATGCCAAAGTTTTTAATAAGCTGTACGCTTCTTTTCCGACGAATGTTAGGAAATGAGCCACAATTTTATCATCTTTGACATCTTTCCTGGTCATACTCCAGATTTCAAACCTTTCCAAATAATCTTCAAAAGCTTCAGAAGTAGAATGAATATCTAGCTGTTCCATTACAAGTTCCATCGCGACGCCAGTGTAGTAATTAGAAGTATATGTATCAAGAATTAAATATATGCACAAACGAATGTATTGTATTTAGAATTCGAAATCAAGCATTCCACAACAACAAGAAGTTACTAGTTCATTCAAACACCACATCCGCCACAGCTTAAATTGGAATGTATATGTCTGTAATCAATCGTACGTCTTCTTCTCAAATTCATCCTGTGTCTGTCCGACAGTGTATTGGATAAAGGCTTTGTATTATCTAGAATGCTCTCATTAGTATTAGAATTAACAACCGAAATTGGAACAGACTCACCTGGTTCTTGGAATTGTATTTGATCAACATGTCGATTGTGTGTACTTAAGTCATTGATATCTAGAAGTCGCACCATAGATTTCCCGACATTCTTCAGAACAATCCCCGTGGATGGTCGAAGATCATTGCCACGATAATATGTAACTTCTGCGGACTCCAAACATCTCATATTCGACCGAAGAATTCTTCCTTTTAATAGTTTTGATGGAGTCTCTTTCGTCACCGAATGTCTGGCATTTCTATATTGCAGTAGAAAGGTATCTACTCCCCTCTCCAGCTCATTAAATGTTGAGGCGGCAATAGAATCACTCAACCTCGAATGCTGATTTTTCAGCTTATGACACTTTTCGCAATTCTTTGCTGTACGACAAATATCTGCATTTAATGACTGTCGAGAAATGTAGTCAACATGTTGAATTTGCTTGGCACTCCCGTGCTGAACCATTTTCATACTTCCATTGCACTTAGCACACGTGGCTATCGAATCTTTAAGTAAAGCATCAGAATTTTCTTTAGAAACTAGGAGAGACAACTCCACTTTAAGCCTTTTCAAATTCTTTAAACCCAGTATTGACAGTCCTGTTTCACTAACTAAAAATTCACAAGGTATATATGAGGAATCATCATCTCTTATTAGCAATTCACAACATCCTCGTATAGGCAGTATGTGTCCAGTAATCCCCAATATTGATACATCAGTGGGTCGTATCACAACGTTCGGATCTAACGATTTCAGGTTCTTGAATGAAACAATGGACTCTATACTACCTGTGTCCACAATGAAGTCATGAAATGAACCAAGCGATGTATATAGTCGCTTTTGAATATGAGCATTACCTTTCGAAATGGTAGACAAAGATAAATGATCATTAGGATCAGCTGAATTATTGGAATCTAAATTACAAGCTTTAGTACTACTTGAGGCAAAATGAACAGTAGCTTTGCATACTGCTTGAATGTGTCCTATCTTACCACATCTAAAACATTTAGCATTACGAAATGTACAATAATAACGAGAATGAAGTTTTCCACATGATAAACATTTGCCAAACTTGGTCTCACCTTTTTGATTTCCTTTGTAATTCTTTTTTGAGACACCGTTCATTTTTACACGAGAATAGGAACCTCTGTTAAACGAACACAATTTTGATTGACCCTGAGATTGCTTTTCATCATGACAACTAATCAAAGTATTGGAAATCTTCATCGACTGAATATCAAGTTCATTCAACGCCTCGTAGTTAATGCACGCAGTTCTAACATCTTGAAAGGAACAGTTTGACATTCTTAACAGCTCTCTTTCCAAACTAGGTATGTTAATTCCTGCAATTAATCGGTCTCTCAGCTGCACATGAAGTTGATCACCGAAATTACATTTGACAGCCTGTTTCTGCAATTCAAGAATGAATTCCTTAACATTTTGGTCATTTTGACGAATCATCTTATGAAATTTCGCTCTTTCACGGCATTCAAAACCAGGGCACCTTACATGATTCAATAATAACTCCTTTAGCATTGCATAGGGAAGTGAAATAGGTTTTTCTGGATATGCCAAAGTTTTTAATAAGCTGTACGCTTCTTTTCCGACGAATGTTAGGAAATGAGCCACAATTTTATCATCTTTGACATCTTTCCTGGTCATACTCCAGATTTCAAACCTTTCCAAATAATCTTCAAAAGCTTCAGAAGTAGAATGAATATCTAGCTGTTCCATTACAAGTTCCATCGCGACGCCAGTGTAGTAATTAGAAGTATATGTATCAAGAATTAAATATATGCACAAACGAATGTATTGTATTTAGAATTCGAAATCAAGCATTCCACAACAACAAGAAGTTACTAGTTCATTCAAACACCACAAACACACCACTCTATCATATCGAAATAGTTGTGTACCCAACTTGAGCGCTAGATAAAGTACTCGGGGTCGAGCGTTGAGTTGTTGTGATAACTGACCAAAGTTTCACCCTAATTTTGCGTGACGACTTTGTAAAGGGTGACTACGCACATCAGCTTCACTTGTTGATAAAATGTATCGAAAAACCTTTCGCAATTTTAAGCGGTAGCGGCAATGTACCAGACCAGTGACATCTCATACAACTAATGACAAAAACTGAATGTTTGGTTCGTATGAGATGATTTGTAGAACTTGGTTTCATTAAAAAGGTGTTCTGTCATAAAATTCAAATTCATCCGAACATGTGCTTGAAACAGATATGAAGGTGAAATATCCATACAACCTGATTGACCGTCATAATCCGTCATAGTAATGAATCGCATCCACTTCAAGGACTCAGTTAACAACGACCGACCACGTATGGATGTGAGATTACATGTTTCAATCTGTCACCTTAATGCTAATAAGATAATGAACATGGTACTCAAAGATTGGCGCGATTTTTGACTGTTAGCATTTAACAGTTATGTACAAAGTCGGCGTTCCCTTTAAAACCCCTCGTCGAGGTTATGCCCTATGGGCTTTCACTTTTGCTGGACACAGCCGAAGTAAGCTAATCAAAACGATACTCCAGTTCTATTGTAGCCCCCAGACTAGTTTACAAGACGTTGTCTTTACTTGGGTTACCAATTGGAATATTGACTACTTATTTCGCATTTCAAAATGAGCATCGACATGAAGAAGAAATGAAAGGAAAAGAGCCATTCGTTCGTATTTATCCCAGGGAGATAAAGGTAGTTCACTGTACTCATTTGATTTTCATTCTATCAGAAGCTACATTGGGGTGACGGTCAAACTGCCTTTACGGATTGCATGTCGGAAAAATTCAACTACACCCAACACCATAAGGTTAAATTTCCTACGCCGGCAGACTAGCTTCTTGACTTCTGAATTTTTCAATTATATTACTTGTACGTAGGTCATAGTAATTGTCAAGTTTGTTATGAGTTTGCCAACGACGGATGCAGAATTGTTTTGTTTTTAATTTGTTGCTTTAATTACTGTTGACAAGCAGTACAGGCTGCTTGCATCAAAATAATAGAAATGAAATCGTAGCTCACAAAAAGCTAATTCCTAAATTCTTAGAAAGTCCGAAAGACTTCATCTTTTTTTTGGATGCCTTGTTTTCATATGTGTTAGGGTACTGTTAGGTCTCAAAATAATGAGAACATTCTTATAGTTACTAGTAGCGAGTGACACTTCTGTGAACTGGTCATCCAATGCTGAAATTACTTTTGTAATAGGGGTCACTACAAGCATTAAGCCACCAAATAAATTTGTGTTTTTTGGTATGTGTGCAACGTCTCGCATCCATACGAATTAATTAATGGTTGCTCTTTAGGCGTGTAGAAAAAATCTCATCGGTCATAGCCTGATAAACAAAGTAGGGTAGTAGGGGGCGTTCACCGTTTCACTTACATCGGATGGGTTACCATCCTTCGAAGTTTAGTGTTTGGCGCAAACTTGGCTCTAGCTCGAAAATGCTCGCATTGTGTTTTAACAACTTACGTTTCTTGTGGCTTAAGTGTGATACTGATCTTTATCCAGCTTTGTATTACTTTGTGGTCTAAGGACATGGAAGTACATTTGCATAAATTGCGGGTTTCGGATCGTAGTTATCCTCCAAAGACTGGTCTCGTCTCGCGGGACAACTAGGTAAATTACTGTGATTTCAGCCATGATTATCGAGATAAGTTGACAGGTTTATGAATTGTATGCTGTACTTATGCAAAAGACGTCTACCTGCACGCGCAATGTTGGCGGAAGTAAGGACAGCCAAATAAAAACATTACCGGGTTTTAGTCTGAGGAGTGATCGTCAGTCATTTACAACTTAGAATTTCGCACGTACGCACATAAGTTCAGGTTATGATACCACATTGACACAGACGCAACTGTCGGTTCAAAACCCATAGTGGTAGAGATAGTAGAAGTATTAGCGGTAATGGAGGAGATTATGGTTCGAAGAAATTATTCAAGAAATAAATTTCAAAAGAGTAAAATCTGAGTAATAAACCCAGAAAATAAGCATTCGGGATGACTCATAGAATGGATGCGCCGGCGCCATTGCTAACGATTTTGAGACATGCCGTTCAAGGTCTCCAACCGTCGGTTAGTATCATACCGCGCACACTAAATAGATAGCTTGCACTTATCAGTATGATCCATTCCTTTTCTTGTATTTGTGTCATGTCTTAGTCTGGCCGCCCCTGGGTTTCTCCCAACCTTCCCCCTACACCACAAAACATCGCTTGGCGAAACAGTGGGTGGTTGAGCATACGTTACACATGTACCAATCACCTCAAATGATGAAGTGTTAATACTTCATCTTTTGAACTGACATCCTTACCTAGCACCCATTTCCTAACAACAGTATTGCTTACTCAGTTGTCCCAGGATATACGAGCAATGTGTCGAAGACATCTATAATTGAATACTAATAACCTACAAATATTCTCAACTCTTACCGGCAATGTTTCGCATCCATAAAGTAGGACGGAACGAACCACTGCGCAGTACACTCGTCCTTTAGTCAGCCAACGGATATCTCAATTATGCCATAAATGATGCAACCTGGTAAAAGCCAGTCGAGCTTTCTGTATCCGTGCGGAGATTCCGTCAGTCACCAGACCATCAGCACTGATGAGACTCCCCAGATAAGTGAAGCGGTCTACACGCTCAACTACTTCACTCCCTATCACTAGTTCAGGTGCCGATGAAACCCAATCTTGAAGCAACATTTCGCATTTCGAGGGGGAAAACCGCATCCCGAACATGCTTGCATTGTTGCTTAGGGTAGTCAGAAGACTCTGCATTTTGTCAGCATCTTCACCAAGTAGGACTATGTCATCGTCATATTCTGAATCAGCAAGCATGTTTCCTGGTAAAAGGTCCACCCCTGAAGAGTCAGACGATGATAATGTTAACTTTAGAAGCATATATACGACAAAGTTAAACAAGAGTGGGGAAAGTAGACAGCCCTGACGGACACCACTTGAGGTAACCGATTCCGATGACAGTTGGCCATAAGCTCTCACCCGACCAGTGGTGTTCGAGTAGAGAGCCTGTATAAGGTAAATGTACTTCTTTGGTACACCTTTTAATGACAGGCACTGCCACAAAACCTCAATCGACAAAGTCAAATTCCGCCTTAAGGTCCACGAAAGAACTATTGCCGGACGACTAAATGTTTGTCTATGTACCAGGACTGGTCATAGTGATAAAATGTGGTCTAAACATCAACGTCCAGTTCTGAATCCAGCCTGGTTTTCTCTTGTCTGCTCTTCACGAGCTTTCGTTAAGCGTCGAAGTATTATTGAGGCCAATATTTTAGATACTATATTAGTTAGACTTATTCCTCTGTGATTGTCACAAGAAGACTTGTGTCGTTTCTTATAGATTGGGACAATCAGGGATTGATACCGGTGGGATGGGATTGCGTCCGGTTCCCAGATTCTACCTAAGATCTCGGTCAATCTGGCTGCTAAAACTGGACGATTATCGCTAAAAATCTCAGATGTCATTTAGGGCCTTCTATTCTTCTTCGCTTTAGATTTACTATAGCTTTCTCAACTTCATAAAAACTTGGGGGACTTACATCGATTTGCCATTCAGGATGCCTTGAGGTCGTGTGCAACCGAAGTGTGGCTGAAGGCTAATTGGACGGATCCGTAAAGTGTCCTGTCCATCGATCCAATCTCCTGGATTGAGCATGAATAATAAGACTTTCCTTTTCCGAGATAGTTCCGCTATCAGTTGGATTTCTAATACCAGTTTCCTTGATAAGTCGGAACAACTGTCTGCTGTTGCTTATCGCCGTTGCCTTTTCCATCGCTCTCGCCTTCGCGACGCACTACTATTCGCGATCCTTGCGAAAGCTTCCTATCAGCCTGCGCCTAAGCTTGCTTCGCTCTTCGTCATGTTCACAACCAGGCGGAATCAGTTCGGATCATCTAGCAGTTCGGCTAATACAATTGAGATACACGGCTTCTTCCTAGCCTTATGGTTTGCCCTACTAGCCGATATCACTGCTATTTCCACAGCCTTTTTGATGTCATTCCAAGCTGCCTCCGGATGGTAATCACTTACATGGTCGCCTAACTGTTTTTCTAGTTGTTCATGAAATATATTCGTAGCTGCTCTATCATTAAATAGGACCGTGAGAGGTCTCCTGGCGTTGTTCTTCCTACGTCCTGTAATTCATAAACACATACGCGCTCGCACTAGTGCATGATCTCAATTTAAACCTGTGCCCCAGAACGAGCTACAGTCCTCCATCGAACCCCTCCATCGGTGTTTGATGGCAATGTGATCTAGTTGGGTCCAGCGTTGAGGCGGCTTTGGAGTTCGCCAGGTCAAGAGATGTTTTTCCTTATGCCTAAAGTTAGTGTTTGCTGGAAATAGGTGGTTATCTGAGCATACTTGCAGCAGACGGTCGCCATTATCTGTTAGATCAGCTGCGATACCATAGGATTGACCCAGGTGTCTCCTGCTCACTTAGTCTACCTACTTGAGCATTGAAGTCACCAGCCTCTGTTGCTATATTAGTGCGTCTAACTTTTAGGAGGAAGTCCGAAATGTTTCCCTATAACTCATCTTTCATACCGTCTGAACTGCAGTCAATCGGAGCGTAGGCAGATTCGACGAATAGGCAACGCTGGGTGTCCCTATCCTTACGACTCCGTACTTTCGTGTTTACTCGGACATCGCACAAGTGACTGCCTACTGGGATCCATTCTAAAAGAGCTATTTATGCCCTAGAACTCTGCCATACCTACACTAGCGAGGCCACGTGAAGCAACAGGATGGCTACCAGACACACGAAGAGTAAATCGAGCTGGTTCTTTATTTTGACTTGGTGAGGTAAAGTGAATGACGCCACTTGGATCGTGTATTCGCGTTTCGGAGACAGTATACATCAATAGCGCAAGATTCTGAGGTCCTAGCTCAGGAAGCTTGTTGTCTTATTTGACACAATGCCCGAACATTAAAATCTCCAATATGTACTTCAGAACGAGGTTTCAGGAGACCAGGTAAAACGTTGCGTGTACTCCAATCGTTTGCGGTAACATTGCTGGTTGATAAAGAAATATGAGAAGGGGCAGTCATGGGGATAAGAGAGATGATAGGTGGTGTAGGAAGGATTTGTTTGTGATCGATTTATAGATATGACGGCGGATGTTACTTTTCGGCTCCCCACATCGTGGAAGGGTGTTTCTTGAGGAACCTGAAAGAGAAGTTGGATTAGTGTTGGTCTTAGAGACTTAGGAGCGTGACCGCTAAGCTCAAGTGACAACTGCTTAAGACCGGCCACGGACGACCTTTTTATGAATTTTTGGAGTGTTAACTCCGCCCTTCAGGTGGCTGTGGGAGACGGAAATCCGTGAGGTAAGATGAGTTGTGACATTTTTAGGGTCGACCTTTTCTAACCCTTCCTTCCTTGTGAGAAGGCAGCATCACTGCAGATGCTGGTTGTCCGAGGGAAACACCTTACTGCTGTCACACCCCTCTACAGTCAGCAGTACGACTTCGCCCTCAGACCTTGGGTAGCTGCTTTTAGTCTCATGGTTCTCCTTCCTGTCATGGGAGAACCTTTAGGAGCATATGTCCCAGCCAATATAGCTCGGTTGGGACCACACGGACAATATCCAACTACCCTGTTCGGGTTCTTAATTCAAATCCATATTCTTTTATTTCAAAAGGGAAACTGACTTTCTAGATTCACTGTACGGAGATCTCATCACAAGAATACTTGGTTAAGTAACAGAAAAAAGTGCTCTCTTTTTTGTACCTCTCCATTCTGGAAGAGACTTTACATATCTTTCACTAATTATTTGTCACGTTTGCCATTGTAGTCCTTCCTCATTTTTAATAGGCGCTAGAGCCTAATGTATCATCAGACGAAATGCAGTTTACATTTGCTCCATGTAATATCTTTTTGGGGTTCGCTAACTAGTTCTCAGTGATGGGGGTGCTTATTCACTTCAGCACCTCTCTTTAAATAATGACTGCCGATGAGATGTTTCCAAGCATCCCTTCCTTGGGTTATTGTCAAGTCCTATCCATGCTTTCAATGTCTGCTTCCAACTCTCAGTTCAGTGTCCTTTGGTCTTCCTATTTCCGCTTTGCCTCTGGGATTCCATATCAGGGCCTTGTGATGCCGTTTGATGATTTGAGCAATATCTCCTGATCATCTTCATTTTTTCCTAATTTCCTCAGCTGGGTTGTTTTCTACTCCTGACCAGTAGGTCTGGGTCATTTGTGTTAACAGCTGTTTATAAATTTGTATACATGAAAAAGTGTGCGCTCTAGGAGTTTCAGGTTAAGATGCCTTCTTGTCCCTAGCTTGTTTACGATAATCCATTCTGTTAGCACTTTGTGCCCCAACCACTATGATCCATTAAGCTAAAATGATAAGTTTGTCAAAACTGAAACTGCATTAAATATATATAAAGTGTACTAAACCTCAACATTTTATCATAACAGTTGATCTTCATAAAAGTCTCACAGATGATTATTTTACCAATAACTCATTTATTGACATGTGGTAGTTTTAGTTGGTCGTGCAAAAGTTGTGATTCGAGAAACTAGGTTTGGTTAAGTAGTGCAGAAATTTACTGGGAAAACAGAAGTGTTACATAAATGTAACAGCTGGCTTTGTAAATAATAAACAATAGTAAGAAAATAAGTGAGAGATTAATGTGAAGAACATTTTTTGAATATTAGACCTCGTCTAAATAAAACAAACACTTTACCCAACTTGTTAGTTGTGTTAACGAATAGATTTAGGTATTTTGAGTGCCAATGATCTTCGCAACAACGTCTCAACGGTTTGTGTTGTTTGCCGGCGCTTAAACAATGTACAAACTGAGTGGTGATAATTAGATCTCTCCGTTGTATTTACATCCACATGTTACCTAAAATGCATAGGTTCAAAGTGTTGATTACTAATGAAATGACTTGTTGTATATAGAATCTTTTCACTCCCACAGCACAGAGATCGACGTCGCGTCTAGAGTTTTGTAGCTTCAATTCCCTGTCATTGTTTCTGACGCAGAACTTGATGACTGTGTTACTTATCACTTTCCCTGATAGCATCACTTTTAAAACCGGACTAAAGGGTTGTTATACATGTTGGAAATTACTGAGGATACGTTCTCCCTCAAACGTGTCCTCAGATCGTTATAATTCGAATATTGAATTTATTTCGAAATGAGTTCACATCACTTCATACACTATTCAGTCGTTGACCAAGTATTTGATCCAATTTCTAGTTACTTTATCACTACTCAGCCTGTGTTACCAATATTGGTCGACTTATACTTTTATTCATCTCAGCACTACATAGTAGTCATTTCTCCGTTGATGATTTCACTTAGCGAAAAATCCTAAATTTCATGTG